TGATTTGGCTTCATAACAGTTTTAAATTTGATCCACTTGAACAGTTTGCGGCCCTGAACATGTTCAGAAAAGCCTCCTGGTGGCCACAGCAGACATTTCACTTTCTCTCAAAACTAAGTGATGTATTTTCCGTCACATCCCCTGAACTAAACACGACAAGTTAAGCCAGTCTGTTCAAACTCTGAAACAAAGGCAGCCAGCTGATAATGCAAAAAAAAAAAAAAAAGTGTACATCTGTGTCAAAGTGGGGGACATTTGAAGGAGACAGTAAAGAGTAAGTTTAACAAAATAATCAAATGTGTTTGAAATATATTTTTTGAAGTCACTCTGTGTTTGGTACGTTCTTCTTGAACTATGAAGTCAATACTGAACATTGTTCTACTTTTTGTAGTGTGTCGGACTTAAGCTTTTAAACTCTACACAACATACCCACAACATGAAATTCTGAAATCAAGCCTTCATTCTCAGATAGTTTGATTTCCTTTTCTCGAGATGCACTTTGAATTATTCACATGAACAATTCCAGATGTAGCATTTGGTATCATTGTAATCCTGGACTATGAAGACACAGACATCAGCTTTTCTGTGTTACGTTTGTTTCAGGTGTAAAATCCATAATGTGGTCAAAGTAAAATGGCAGCAAAGTGTTTTTGCTCCATTTCTGAAAATATTCAGGGTTCCAAATTAGAAAAAAAAAAAAAAAGGTGAACGTGTCACCTTAAATTAGCATCATCTGAATATCACCGCTGTGAGTGTTTGCATAAAATATCAGGCTTTTGCATGAACTACCTTGGGTTTCACAGCAGGAAGCACACCGACTCTGTTCTGTTGTGTAATAATTTTAATTTACAGAACATTGTCAAATTGCATTACATTTAGTGCAAATAACACATCTCATGTACAACTTAGAAATATACAAAGTGTGTAGATTACTGACAAAATATCAAAATTAAAAACACTAAATGCATTCTTCGGCTGACGCTGCTCGTCATCTAGCTCTTGTAATTATCAGCAAAACAAATGATCCAGATCCTCCCGAACCTTTGACCCCCTTGGACTGAAAATCGGATGATAAAAATTTTTCAACCATGCAGATGTACTGATTGCAAAAACTCCCAACTTTTGATGGCATTAAACACAGTCTAAAGTAAATTTGAATCTTGAGGTAAGATGATGTGAAATGCTGACCCCCATCCCGTCCCCCCATCCCACCCCCACCCAGCTTCATTTCAGTGTTGATAAATGCACATCTGGTGGCTGTACAGTAGAGAAAGCCAGGACTTTTAGGTGTCATCCTGGTGTCTAAGGCATTCTGGGGGTAGTTTTATCAGTCGAAGGGCAGGAGGCCACTGCACTGTAGTGTGGCTTGTGAAATGTAATCTTAGCATATGACTGAGAGCGTAGATGATATCCTGCTCGACGTTTTATCCTGCACGAAAGCAGCAGGACCGATGTACAAACCCGACACTCATAAATGGACAGACATTGTTCCTGCCTTACGAGGGGCCGAAAACAGTGAAGAAAAACCTCCGGCGTACAAAATGCACCCGCTCGACTCTCAATCAAAGAGAGGAATCTTCAGATTAGACGCTGCAGCTGGTCGTCTGCAGAAATCCGTCAGAAACCTTTCAGACAGATACACTCTGACTGCAGCTTAGCATCCAAAGACCACAGTCAACTATCATCAGTTCGGCTGTGTCCGAAATATTGTCCAACATGAGTGAGTTAGACTTAGTAAATGCTTTTCATCTCCCATTATTACTGTCCTTGGCCCATAACTATCGTCAAATTCAAGCGTTTAACAGTCAATTCACATTTCTCACATTGGTAAACTAACTGAAAACTTATTCGGTTTTCTCTGTACAATACATTGTGTCCACGGTGCTCTCTGAAAGCTACTTTATAACAATCTAGAAATATAAAGATTTCAAAGCTTTAGGCTCTGACCCTCCATCGAACTGCAGAGAGAGTTGTCACAAGAGGGACAGGAGAAGGCGAGAAAGAGGAGATAGTGTACCACACCTCGTCAGTGCTCTTCCTGTAAATATCTACTTTCCTCTTTCATGGTAGTTACTTTAGCAGCAGCAAAACAAGTAGCTGTAACACTAGTGATTAAAGCAACCCCCCCCAAAAAAAAAAAAAAAAGTCAAGAAGAAGTGTGTAATCATAAGAAATGTACAAAACAATTTACAAAAAAAAAAGAAGCAAGTAATCGGTAACAATTTAAACTCACTTAGGAAACTCTTGAATTTCTGTACATACAAATGTACCCACGACCACCAGATGGTGCTGAGCCGATCTAATGTAGCTGGGATGACCACTACTGATGCATTAAAGCCATAAAACCAGTCTTGTCTTCGAGCAGGTGTCCAGTGGGACGTCCTGATGATATGGTGTCCTGCATGTAGTAGTTGGGAAAACACATTCTAACTGATAGGTGAATAGGTCATGTGGTCGTCAAGAGTCTGTTTAATTCTGAACGACGCGGGTCTGTCTGATGGACAACCTCGGCTCTCCACAAGCCTGAAACAAGAAAAAAAAAAAACACACATGAAATATCTTGACGGATTCCATAGATCTGTTTTTTTATGATTCAATTTTACAACATCACATTTTCAGTGTAATCAGTGCTCTTAGTTTAGCTGTGTATTCAGCTGAACAACAACATCTTTGGATTCTTGGTTACCTCTTGTGTTCAGAAGAGGATGGGCTTCCCAGCTGTTTTTTCCTGGACGTAGGAGGTGAAGCGTTTGAGGAACTTGGGATACTCTCTCTTGGCCACGGCTCTGAGGACAGAAGCCGGAGCCCAGCCTCCTGGGTTTACTGCAGACACACACAGGAAAGTGATCAGCACGTTTTTGTGGCGACTTACAGTGTGATGAAAACCATTAATCATAAACCCGCAGTGATTCAGTACATAGACGGCGGTGTGGGGCGCCCTCTAGTGACAGGGATGCAATTATTTTTCTTTTTTTCAAATGAACTCCCACGACCTGCCTGACTTCTCTGACAATAAACTGGCTCGAGATCCCTTCTGCGGCGCTTCTTTATGTCACAACCTCCTCGTCTGCAGGAAGTCAGGGGAGGGGGGGAGAGAAGCTGCACGAGTCTGGACTGAAATTTCAAAGACACGGCCTCATGGGCTGTCTAGTTCTTGTGTCAGTTCTCAGCTCTACAAAGACTAATTAGCAGAAAATTGGATGATACGTGTTGGGTGAAATATTTGAGAAGAGGCATAAAACAAACAATAGCAAGTGAGGAACATCAAAAGAAAACACGCCAGCTTCAGGCAGTTTGCTGACTTTATTTTTCTCATGTGTGACTCAAAATATTGCTACTGCTATTCTAATTTCTTTACAGCAACTTTGTGATCTGCAGCTATTTTCCCTACAATTGTGTTGATGGCTCAAAAACAAGCACTTACATTTGAATAGATTAACACCACCACCCACCAGCTGACTGACTGTATGACAAATCAAGCAAACACTCCAATTGTGCTCTCATTAATTTTTCCTGTGTGAATTTTTTTTTTTTTTTATACAAGCACGGACTGTCTTTAGATTAGAAATGAGAGTTTAACATTTGCCGTTTAAGGTAGGCTGGATGTTTCTACTGGGGCCGACTGTAGGTAAATTATATTAAGATTGAGGTTTTATTCTGCTGGCTGCCGATCTTGCTTAAGGCTAATATTCTGAGATCAGTTTATGGTCTGGAGAGGCACCTACCGTTGGCAACGTAGGTGATCTTACAAAGGATGTTGTCTCTGCTGATCTCTTTATCACCTTCAGGTGGGCTGACCAGTGTTTGGCAGATCATGGCGACATTGATTTTGGCACGAACACACCGGTTTGTAGGCTGAAAGCAAAACAAAAATATAAATTCAAACAATTCCCACGCTGCCACAAATCTCACTACAGCAGAACCGAAAGAGTGACTGTGGTTAGTAAAAATATTCTTTTTTTTTTTCAATGTAATGATGAAAAAGCTCAACAACAAAACTTTGTTTGACTAAGAGATGTTTGTAATTATATGCAGCACTGAATCAAATGTGTTTCTACAGTAACGATACACCAGAGTCTCTAAAAAGAGTTCAGGCCAAGCAGTGTGTTCATTGAACAGTCTTTGGCTGACTCGTGAAACACTGTATGATAGGAATAAGTTTAAAGCATTAACCGTCAACTACTACTTATATGAAGCAGGTTATCACTTATCCCCATGGGAACAAATTTGGCATCTCCTGTGTTTTTGGGCAGCTGGAGGCCAACATTTTATAATAATAATAATAATTGATCAGATGTAGAAAGTGCTTTTCTTACTCAGGGAGTAAC